AAAATATGTTCTTGACTGCATTGTGCTAAAATAGCAGAGATTAAGACCTACATAGATCATATCCAAATACCCAGGTCTACAAACCCTTAAAAAGAAAAAAAAAAAAAAAAAACTATTATATTTATATATCTACGTCTAGATCTAGATCTGATTACAATCAATTTGGAAAAATAGAAATGCATACATCCACATATAGATACATTCTACATTTCATTAATACATTGCATTATATATTAGGATAAATATATTACATCAAGACAATTTTAAAATTAAATTAATTTGGCATGTACTAAATGAAAGAACAAGGAAATATTCCCAACTCTCAAGTATTGTCTCATTTCGTGCATTTTGGGGATGGTGGTTAAAAAAGTGAATACATATTTATGCAATAAGCAGAAAATGTTAAGTACCATGACAAAGTTCAATATGTTGTCTTTAGTGAATATGAAAGATGGAAAAGATGATATTGGGAGGGAGGAGGAGAAGTGAGTTAGAATAGGCAATGAGTGTACATACGGTTTTGCCACCTAAGATGGCAGAAGTCTAGGATGAAGAAGATGAAATAGAGGGTTAGAAACTATTTTAATTGGAGGGGAATGGAATTGTGAACAAAGGTAATGAGAAAAGTTGAGTTTTGATGAACCTAATTTTCAGATTTCTTAATGCTAGGTCTGAGTTTTATACTTTTTCAGTGACTTAATTTGCACATGTGTAACCTCTCCTTGATTTCCTTGGGAAGCCATTGCCCAGAAACTACCTCCAATGAGACGACTGAGTATATGTAAGCTTCAGATTTGCTCTTATCAAGTTATTCATCCATCAGAATCTCCCTATTACAATAGGATTGTATCTGTAATTGACAATACTAAACAAAGGCAACAGCTTTACTAGTATACTCTGCTTATTTTGTTTGCACTGGAGGAAAAAAGCATTCTTAAAACTTAACAATATGAAAATAAACAACCTGATTAAAAAATGGGTCAAAGACCTTAACAAACATCTTACCAAAGAAGATACAGAAATGGCAAATAAATATATGAAAGATGCTCCACATCATATGTCATCAGGGAAATGCAAATTAAAACAACTATGAGGTACCACTACGCACCTATAAGAATGTCCAAAATCTGGAACGCTGACAACACCAAATGCTGACGAGGATGTGGAACAACAGGAACTCTCATTCATTGCTGGTGGGAATGCAGAATAGCACAGCAACTTTGGAAGACAATTTGGTGGATTCTTACAAATATAAACATACTCTTACCATATGATCCGGCAATTGCACTCTTTGGTACTTACACGAAGGAGTTGAAAATGTATGTCCACATAAAATCCTGTACATGGATGTTTATATAGCTTTATTAGTAACTGCCAAAACTTGAAAGCAATCAAGATGTCCTTTAGTACGTGAGTGGATACATCCAGACAACAGAATATTATTCAGCAGTAAAAAAAAAAATGAGCTATCAAGCCATGACAAGACATGAGGGAAGCTTTATGTATATTACATAAGAGAAAGATGTCAATCTGAAAAGTCTACCCACAGTATGATCCCAACTATATGACATTCTAGGAAAAGTTAAAATGTGGAGACAGCAAAAAGATCAATGGTTTCCATGGATTGGTGGGGGGAGGGATGAATAGGCCGAGCACAGATTTTTAGGGCAGTGAAAATACTCCACATGATATTATAATGATGGATACATGTCATTATGCATTTGTTAAAACTTATAGAATGTACAACACCAAAAGTG